AAGTGTGGATACTTGTATTTGGAGAGGTAATTCAATACCCTCAGTTGTCTGGTGATACCCAGTGGAATGAGGGAAAACACCTTTGCTCAAGAGAATAGCTGTTATAATCTCTGGCAGCACAGTCTATCTGTAACCAACTATTGGAGTCCAGCTATGTAGATTAGCTCTTCTCCACAAATAGGCAGACACATAAAGTATTCACAAAGAATCTTACAGGGAATTTCATATAAAAATAAACATTCAGCAAAATAGTTACCAACATTTGAGGAAAGTCATCACTATGAAACAGATAAACTTAAGTGAGCAAAACAAAGATTTTATATAGGAGAGCAGTCTGTAAAGATGACAAAAATAGTGCCAGTCTTGGGGATGATAAGATGAAGTGAATTTTTTCATGTAAATTGCATGAAACAGTGTTTGGAACTTGGTAAGCACTCAGTAAATATTAATGCTAATAAACGAAAGAAAAAGTATAATTTACTTTGGCACAGTTAGAATGTGGCATCCATGTAAAGGAAACAATGAAAGATTTTAGAAATTAAAAATATAATCATCTGAATAATAAAACTCACTAGTGATAAGTATAGTAGATTTCGTGAAAGAATGCTTTTTTCAATGTTATGGGTGCAGCAAATAAAAATAATACAAGCATAAAGAACATTTTAGTAACAGCCATCAGATTCAATCAATTGCATAGTCTATATTTTCTTTTTAAATTCCCATGGAACTTTTCTAGAAATTAAGTATATACTCAATTGTAGAAATTTCATTACTATGTTTTGGCAGATAAAATCATTAGTATGAAACAGTGTGTAGAATAAAAAAAAGATTCTTCCAAGGAAAAAGAATGAGAAATTGGCTTTTGAGAAGATTAAAACAGAGCTCCATGCCTAAACAGAAACGCCTCACAAATTGATAGAGTTCATGATGATATACCATTTCTTTTTAGCTATCAGTATTATTTAGATGTTACTAGTTTCTAGTGAAACATAATGGCATTTAAAATTCATATGTATGGTATTTCTGACAGTTAAGAAACTTTTCTCAGATATAGTACAATCATCCAATGGATATAGCAGTTCTTGGAACAGAAAGTATAATCTGTACCTAAATGTAGGTAGTGATCTCAGTACCCATTTATGTAAGAACAAAGTTGAGGGTTTATAATACTTGTTTTCAGTATATAACAAAACAGTTACTGTAAGCAATTCTCCTACATTATATTCTCAAGGGGCTTCAAAACATCGTATCTACACAAAAAATTTGTACTCAGATGGTCATAGCAACATTATTCATAATAGGTAAAAAGTGGAAACAACTCAGATGTCCATGAAGTGACTAGATAAACCAAATGTGATATGTGTGTGAGTGTGTGTGTGTGGGTATGCAATGGAATGTTAATTCAGCAATAAAAAAGGAATGGTACTATCACTAGCATGGCTATAATTTTTAAAAGCTAATATTGATGAGGATTTAAATAAATTGCACCATTGATGGTAAGGATATAAAAAGGTGCAGCTACTGTGGAAATTGGAAGTTTCTCAAAAAGAGTTTATCATATGAGCCAGCAATATCACTCCTAGACATATATTAGGCAAAAGAATTGAAAATGTATGTTCACACATCAACTTGTACACAAATGTTTATAATGTTATTATTCATTTAGCCAAAAGGTAGAAACAACCCATATGTCAGCCATAAAAAGGAATGAAGTACTGTTACATGCTACAACATGAATCAACCTTGAAAATACTATATTAAGCGAAAGTAAACAAACACAAAAGGCTACCTATTATATGATTCCATTCTTATGAAATGTTCAAAATAGGCAAATCCATAGAGACAGAAAGTAGGTTAGTAATTGTCAGGGGCTATGTGGAGGGATACATTGGGACTGACTGCTTAATAGGTACAGGATTTCTTTTGGGAGTAATGGTAGTATTCTGGAATTAGATGGGCTGATATTTGCACAACATAGGGAATATACTAAAGTACAATGAACTATATACACTTTAATATGGTGGATTTTGTGGTATGTGAAATATAGCTCACTAAAAATCCTATATAAAAATGATGGTGGTTCTATTGTCATAAGTGTTTTATATTTTGATAAATATTGCCAAGTTGTCCTCCATTGAGATGGTACACTTTATTAAATAATTTCAGAAGCTATGTGTGAGAGTGCCTGTTTTTCTCACCTGTATGTTATCAAAACTTTTAATCTTTGCCAGTATTTCTGTTGAAAAATAATAACTTAATGTAGATTACATTTGTATTTCTCTAATTATGATCAAGATTGGTCACATACTTAAATGTCATTTTTATTTCTTTCTGAACTTCTGTTCTTATCCGTTGCCTGTTTTTCTGTTAGAGTTGATCTTTACTGATCTGTAGAACTTCTTTATGTGTTTTTTTTTCCTAGTATTTCAACTTAATGACAGATTTTTACCATGAATGCCATCTTTCTGTTCAGTATTGACATAGCATTGCCCCATTTTCATGGTTTTTATGTGAACCAAGGTCCTATCTCATGACATCATAAGGGCTATTAAGTTTCTCAGTGCTTATCATTATATTCCTTCTAAGCTATGTCCACTTAACATGTCTATTTATATATAGAAATATATTTGTATTTCTTATATCAGAATATTTTAAGGAGAACTGAGTGAGGAAGGCAAGCTTTAGATAAATTAATGGATTCTAAATTTTGGTTTTTAGGTAGTCATTAAAGTGAATATAATTTATGAGTTTTTCTAGAAAATATGAAGAACAAAATCAACAGAGTAATGGATAAATGAGTGGAAAGATGGATAAATGAGTGGAAAGATGGATAAATGGGTGGATAGATAGAGGAAACAAATGTATTAAATTGGGCTGATAACCTTACCAACTGTTGAGTCATTCAGCAGGTTTAGTCCTTCAATAAATATTTTTAATACATAGTATATGCCAAGCCCTGTGTTGGGTGCTGACGATCTAGTGTTGACTGAAACGGATTTTATTCCTGACCTCAGGGAATGTATAATCCAATGAAGGAGACAAGCAATAACAAGGTAAAAACATTATAATCCCAGCACTTTGGGAGGCCGAGGGAGGATTGCTTGAGGCCATGAATTCAAAACTAGCCTGGGCAACATAGCAAAACCTCATCTCTACAAAAAAATAAGAAAGATTAGCCATACATGGTAGCACACACCTATAGTCCTAGCTACTTGGGAGGCTGAGGCAGGAGGATTGCTTGAGTCCAGAAGGTAGAGTTTGCAGTGACCTGTGATTGGGCCACTGTACTCCAGCCTGGGTGATAGAATGAGACCCTGTCTTTAAAAAAATTTTTTTTTAATAAATGAATAAAAAGATAAAACAAACATAATTTAGGTAATGTTATAAAGGAATTTACTGTTACTTGCTTGTTTATAAAAAATAACTGACTAAATGGGAGCTGTGTGACATACTTTTGATAGGGAGGTCCATGAGGCCTTTCTGAGGAGGTAGTATTTAAGCTTAGACTTACAGGTTATGCTAAGAGAGCCATAGGAAAGCTAGAGGACATCTTATGAAAGGGAAACTTGAAATTGAGGGCTTTAAGATGGCATCTTTGAGAAACTGAAGGGAGGCCATTAAGAAACAGAAAGGAAGCCATAATGGCTGGGACTTATTAAATGGAGGTGTACTCAGAAGAAATGAAGAGACTAGTCAAGCCATGGTAAGGACTTTGGACCTTGCAGAGAAGTTATCAAGAGCTGTTAGCAAAGGAGTGTCATAATCTAGTTTATGTTTTAAAAAACTACTCTAGCTACTGTATGGAGGATGAAGAGGGAGATGGTGAGGGGAAAAAGAAAAAAACAACAATAACTCGGAGAGCAGTGGCCAAAGCCTACACCAGAGAGATGAAGATGATAAATTGATAAATTCTAGGTACAGTTTAAAAATGGAATCAGCTAGATTTAATGTGTTGGATGTTATAGATGATAGAGAGGAAAGATTCATTGAGTACTCTCAGCCATTTGTTATTAAAATCTGTGTGCTCTGCATGAATTCATATGTGGGCAGTAGAAGTTAGGTTTATAAATAATGATACATAAGCTTACATTTATATAGTGCTTTGAAAATACTACCACATCTAGTACCTCATTTTGGGTTGTTTAATTTTTTAACTGAAACATATTGGCACTTGAAATTTTTCTGAATTCAGTTATAATTTTCTGGAAGTAGAGCTTAACGGGCATTCAGATGTATTGCGAAAGCTTAAAATCCTCACACACAAACAGCATTCATTCTCAAAACTAAACATTATCTCATACAAAATTGGTGGGGTTTTTTGGAGGGGGAAGGGGACTTTATTTTATGTTTAAAGGAATAGGATAGAAATTACAAAATATCTTCTAAGAGTAGATTTTAAAGTTCTATAGTTAAATTTTGTCTGAATGAAAGTATAAAGCCCGGCATTTCTTTTCTATGAAAGATGGAAAACATTTTAAAAATTTGCTAGACTGCTATAAACTATAGTTAAATTAATGGAAATCACTTCAGATTGCTGTAGTAGTTAATCGTCTTCACTTTGAAAGAGAGGTTTTACACAATGTATAATTTGATGGGAAGTTCAAATCAAAGTCTTAAAGTTCTGATAAATACATTCAGTAATTTCTAACATAATTTTATATTTGATATGAAAAATTTTGTCCCATAATTTAATGGTTTTTTTTCCTACTTAAGCTTTTTCAGAAATGCAATTTTTAGTATTAATCTCTAAATGAAATAGATTTGTAAGAATAGATATTTTTGGGAGGGGGGCGGGTATATATATACATAATGAGTGAGATGTGCACCATCTGGGGGATGGTCATGCTGGAAACTCAGACTTGTTGGGGGAGGGGGGAAAGGGCATTTATTGAAACCTTAAAATCTGTACCCCCATAATATGCCGAAATAAAAAAAAAAAAAGAATAGATATATTAGTTCCTCAAGGAAAAAAAGAAATGTTTTATTTATTTATTTTACAGAGGTGGCTGGATCCAAACAAACCAATAAGGAAGCAGCTAAAGAGTGAGCATACATATTTACTTGATGTTTTGCAAGTATGTTTTATAAAGATAAAGGATTAATATAATCTGATTAATTAGAACTGCTTTTGTTAATTTTAGGAGGATCTCCTTACAGTTTGAACTTTAGAGTCAAATTTTTTGTAAGTGACCCCAATAAGTTACAAGAAGAATATACAAGGTAGGTTGATGGAGCATATTTTTCTTGAAAATACTGTGAAAACTCTAATATGAAATTATAAAATTAATTAGGCAAAATAGATTACTAGGGTATAATCCTGAGCTTTCTGGTTAACACATAATAAGTTATGGATATAGCAAAATAACTATTTTCTCCCCTTTTGGATGGCTTGGAGGGCTTTATGGAATTACAACTTCAGGCCACCAATTCAGCCACAAGCAGCTCTCTGAGTTGTGCAAATATTAAAATTTTCTACTTGTCTTGTAGAAAATTGTCTTGTCTATTAATTGAGATAATCAGATGCTACTGAAATGGGATCCAAGGGGGATGCTACATAGTGACAATTTTTTTGTGTTTTTTTTTTTTCATGTAAGAACATATTCTCTATATATTTTTTCATTGAGAACATGGAATTTATAAAATATATGACCATCATGAGCAGTAATAATTGTCAGGTACCTTTTTTTCCTATGTATTTTTAATCTTTGCTTCTAAGGAAAATATAATGGACTTTATAAAGGATGTTATAGGGAGTGCAGTAGCATGTGGAGGCCTTTACATGCCCACTTTACTGCCCATTTTATGTCTGAGCTTATGTTACTATCTCATTTTTTCTTGTCACTTTTACTTGACAAAGTGCACATAAGAATGATCCAGATGAGCATTCTGACAGTATTCTTGAATGTAAGGTGAAATGTTGAAGGTAGAAATAGAAATACTGACAGTGTGGTAACTGTCATTGTTAAAATAAGCTGAATGAAAACCTTGTGCATTACTTGAAAGACAGAATTAGTAATAAGGTTTTTTTCAAAGACAGAGTAAAAATTAGCATATTATGCCTTCTGTAAAATTCTCTGATATAAGTATATAGGTCCGTGACTATATTTGGAATTACTTAAAAGATACATATCAGTTTAAAAATCCATACCTAAAACTCCCCATAGATGGGATGTTAGATTTTAACATATCAGTTATCCTTTAGGATACTGTGTTGGAGTGAAGAAACAAAAGGGCAAATTAAAGATATTTAATTAGCTGCAGCTGCCAGTTCTTAGGTGTTTATAAAGTAGAGTTTTTAATAGTAGACCAAGTAACATAAATTAGATTGAAATTCTGAGAGCCTTTTCTGTGTGTTTGTGGAAGGAGTGCAGATATTTTATTTTTATTTTTATTTTTTTTATAATGGAAGAACACAGATGTAGGCTCTGGATTAGGCAGTCCTAATGTTTGCCACTAAAAGTAGAATCTGAGCTAATTTATCTTGAAAAACAAAGTTATGTTATATGAATACCTTTTAGTTTAATATTATAGACCTTAATTAGTCAAGTTTTGCTGTTCTTGTTCTTATTAAATAATTAAAATAACAAGGGCCGGGCTCTGCCCACTTATAAACCTATAATCCTAGCACTCTGGGAGGCTGAGGCGGGAGGATCACTTAAGGTCAGGAGTTTGAGGTTGCTGTAAGCTAGGCTGATGCCACAGCACTCTAGCTGGGGCAACAGAGTGAGACTCTGTCTCAACAAAAAGAAAGAAAGAAAATAAAATAAAAATCTTTTATCTTAATAAATAATTCTCAGTATAATAAAACTTCCCTTTATTTTACATGAACTTCAAGGAAAGTACAATGAATTAATGAAAATTGCAGATTATAAAATAATATTAAATGTGTTTTTTTATTTCCTGGTACATAGGATAACTTAAAATCAAGTAGTAAAATATTCCATAATATATATTTTACATAATCATATAATAAATATTTACAACTAAAAGTCCAATAATTTAAAGTCGGATTTCTAAGAGATTTAATGTTTATGAAAAGTTAATGTAAACAATTAAAATATTGTCAGTTATAGCCATGTTCATAATTTACTTCACTCATAAAACTGTCTTTGCATTTCTGAATGGAACTTGAATGGGTTGATTCTTTTATTATTATAGCCTGTAGTGATAACATAATCAGGAAATAAATGTGTCTCACTGGTAATTAAGTCAAAATAACTTCTGGAGTAGAAGTAAAATCAAGTTTGATAGTGGTCAGTGAATTAATTTATGCTCAGTCTATCAGTCTTAGAAGATCTTTGTTTTCACTAGAAATAATGGTTTATTTCAAAAAACCTTTATAATGGAATGTTAATGGGGTCAATGTCTAATTTTTATTTTATTACAATCGAAGAAGAATGATTTTTCTTCAATTACAAATTAGAATCACTTGGGGGAGATTTAAACCATACTGTTTGTCTTGGGCACACCTCTAGATATTACAATTTAATAGGTCTCAGATGGACCTGAATATAGTTAGGCATTACAAGCTTCCCAGGTGATTCTAATATGGAGCCAGGGTTAAGAAATACTTTAAATACTTTTAAAACTTTAGTGCTTGAGTAGTCTTAATGTGATGGTGGTGATTAGTAAGAAGACACCTATGGCCACAGCTGTTAAATTTTCAGGACTGGTTTAGACCCTACAAAACAGGAAATCTACACCTCCTTACCTTGAGACTCCATTTTGAATTAGTGGGAAAAAAGAATGGCGTCAAAGAGTTTCCATTTAGTATTAGTAGATGCTAGCATCATTGGAATAAAATTTTTCCAATTCCTGAAATACCTATACTAGCAAGTAATATGCCTTTGTTTTTTGCAAATGTAGAGACTAAAGCTAGGCCAAATTTTAAATAGTTTGCCCAACATCACAGGCTAGCTTAGCCTAGGACTTGGAATTCTGGCTTCCACTCTTAACAATCCTTACTGCTTGGTTAAATGAGTTATATAAGTAAAATTCAGCAAGTATTGGTATTATTTATGTGGGATTTACAGTTTATGTCGAGGAATATACATGTCTTTTAAATCCTAACTTTCAGATTGTTTCCCATCAGGAACCTTTAACTTTTAATTATTATGTCAGATAGGCCAGATAGAAACATACTATCTTGGATTTGAATAAGTAGATAATATTTAGAATATTATGCATTAAGCCTTACAAGGAATTTATGTTCTTCATTAATATATGAAGCCAGGATATTTGTATCCATTTTTTTTTTCTGTAATGAATATATGCTCCGAAAATCTTAATTACATTCTTTGGTAATTTGGAAATTGTCGTGGAGTTTTTAATGACTTTAATTAGCCAACTAGAACTTTTAATGACTTCTGACTATTGAAATAATCACTTTATTTTTAGTTGGGTAAAATAAAAATCTTAAAATTCCCTGTTTAAACATTTAAAACCACAAAATTTTGGTCTTTTGCCAACATTATACAGCACAGGTGACTTTGCCCAAGCATTGGTAAATCTGTGAGTGAATGGCTTACCCACTAGCAGGGACTTATGGACAATGCCACCTTGTGAGCAATCTCAGAAGTTTTGTTATAGGATACTTTTAATGTTTTTGTTGGTTTTAAGGAAATAGCATACACGACAATTAAAATAGTAGAGCAATAGTAGGGAAAGGCACTTGTGTTTTTTTCTGATCAAAGAGAGGTTTCTTAATTCAAATGGAAGTGGATAGATGCTATTCTACATCTAGCAGCTTCCTGATGCCTAATGATAAAATGATGAAAACACCCCCCTGTCCTTGAAGCTGGCTTTCTATTACAGCAAAAAGGATGATTTTCTTTAATTGGGCTCTGGTGCGTTGTTGCTACTATCAGTTCTCACAGGGTTCTGATGCTGAAGTTTTCTATGCTTCCCAGTTCTATTTTCTGCATACATCAATCCTCCAAAGTATGTCTCCCTATTGTTCTCCCTTGGGTATGTAACTCTGAAAAATCTTGAGGAGTTTTGTAGTGGAAGCTAGTGTAATCAAGACATTAAAGGTACCGAATTTCATATATCAAAGAATTTTAAAGATTTGGATTCATTAGTTTATGAAAGCCTATTTAAAAATATCTTTGCATATGCTAACATAAATTATAAAAGCAAATATTTGAGTATTTCAATAACTATACAGTTTTTTAGAACTAAAATTGTTACAATTCCAATAAATGCTATCTTTTTTTTTTTAAGGTACCAGTATTTTTTGCAAATTAAACAAGACATTCTTACTGGAAGGTGGGCTATTTTAATTCTTTTGTAATGGACTTTTAAAATACTTTCAATTCTGTATTATTTAAATAATACATGATCATTACAAATTATCTATCAAAAAATGAATTCCTTTCATCAAATAAGTTCATTTTTTAACAGTTAAAATTAAGTCACTTAGAAGCTTCAAGTGTGAATAGTATAACAAATTATAGCACTTTTGAAATTAATTACGTTTAACCTTTAGTTATATTTTCTGTTTTGTTTTAGATTGCCTTGTCCTTATAATACCGCTGCCCTTTTAGCTTCATTTGCTGTTCAGTGTAAGTATCAGCCCACTTTTAGGTCAATTAGCATATGACTTTAGGGTCTGTGTTAATAGTACATTGCCTTTAATGTGGGCATTCTTTAGACATGTTACTACGCAGAATATAGTGACAGCTGAAGAAAATTTAATGAAACGTCCAATTAACAATTACTGTGATTTTTGAAAAAAATTGTCTCTGAAATTCTTGGAGGCCTAGAAGAATGTTAAATAGACTGTTGTGGCCGGGCGCGGTGGCTCACGCCTGTAATCCTAGCACTTTGGGAGGCCGAGGCGGGCGGATTGCTCAAGGTCAGGAGTTCGAAACCAGCCTGAGCGAGACCCCGTCTCTACCAAAAATAGAAATAAATTAATTGACCAACTAAAAATATATATACAAAAAATTAGCCGGGCATGGTGGCGCATGCCTGTAGTCCCAGCTACTCGGGAGGCTGAGGCAGTAGGATCGCTCAGCCCCGGAGATTGAGGTTGCTGTGAGCCAGGCTGACGCCCCGGCACTCACTCTAGCCTGGGCAACAAAGTGAGACTCTGTCTCAAAAAAAAAAAAAAAAAAAAATAGACTGTTGTAATTTGCTTAAGTGGTTACATTAGAAGCATAAATATTTTACATTTCTAAACACAATGGAATTAATGACATTGCTGATCTGACTAAAATAATTGAAAAATATATTTCTTAAAATATGAATATTTTCCCTCCATTATTAGCTGAACTTGGAGACTACAATCAGTCAGAGAATTTGCCAGGCTACCTCTCAGATTATTCTTTCATTCCTAATCAACCTCAAGATTTTGAAAAGGAAATTGCAAAATTACATCAGCAACATATGTAAGGATTTATTTAGTCTTTTGTTTATTTGGTAAACTTCTTAATAGCATCCTTTCTAGAGAAATGTTTTAAATTATTTCTAATTTGATGATTGTATTTATTTAATATAGACTCATTACTATTATCTAAAATAATAAAGATGGTTATAAAGAAATGTGTGTGATCTATACAAAACAATCATTGCTTATTTTTCATAGAATATATGAGCTTTGTTTTCATTTCTCCTAAGAAGTATAAAGCTATATGTAAACAGAAATGTATTTGCTTTTACATAAAGTTGTCACTTCTTTAAGAAAGAATTTTAGAATATTACTAGTTAAAATACATAGATCAGTCTGCATGGTAATTCTCAGTTTTTAGTTATATGAAAGGAGTTGATTCTGTTTGGTAATAGAGCCAAGAGGAAGAAGAAAAGGAACTCCATGTAATACTAAGTTACTAAAATATATTTCTTAAAAACAGTATGGATTAAGCATCCTTAATCTGAAAATTTGAAATTTGAAATCTGAAACTTTTTGAGTACCGGTAATACACCACACATGGAAATTCTACACCTGCCATTATGTGATGGTTTGGAGTCAAAACACAGTCAAAAGCTTTTTTCATGCACAAATTATTAAACATATAAACATATAAAATTACTTTCAGTCTATGTGTATAAGATATAAATGAAAATAAGTGAAGATATCTCTCATGTGTATGCAGATGTTTCAAAATCTGAAAAAATCATAATCTGAAACACTTCTGAGCCCACACATTTTAGATAAGGGTTACTCAACCTGCAGCACTTTTTCATTCATAACACTGTTCAACTTTGATTTTTGTGTGTGTATGTGCATGAATCCAGTTTTCTATAACATAATTTCTTTAAAGAACAAATTTCTTGATTTGAATAGGAAGTCATACTGTTTATTGGTTCAGAATTCAGTTTTGCTTTTAACGTATGGTTCAGACTACTCTGGGAGAAACTAAAGCAGTGTTGTATATTGTTGGCTTAGAGTCTGAACTAAAGAGCCAAGACTAGCTGGTTTAAAATTCTGGTAAGGTTATTTACTTATAACCTTACTTATTTATAACTTCTTTTATTTATTTATTTATTTATTTTTTTTGAGACTGAGTCTTGCTTTGTTGCTCAAGCTAGAGTGAGTGCCGTGCTGTGGCATCAGCCTAGCTCACAGCAACCTCAAACTCCTGGGCTCAAGTAATCCTGCTGCCTCAGCCTCCCAAGTCACCAGGACTACAGGCGTGCGCCACCATGCCCAGCTAATTTTTTCTATATATATTAGTTGGCCAATTAATTTCTTTCTTTTTGTAGTAGAGATGGGGTCTCACTCTTGCTCAGGCTGGTTTGTAACTCCTGATCTCGAGCAGTCCACCTGCCTCGGCCTCCCAGAGTGCTAGGATTACAGGTGTGAGCCACCATGACTTCTCATAACCTTGGACAGATTGTTGTAGGTCTCTGCTTCTCTGTTTCCTTATAGGTAAATTTGGGATAATAAAAGTATCTATCTCTGGAGTTCTTATAAATCTTAAATGAGTTTATATACACAAAATGTTTTCAGAATTGGTGCCTAGCACATGGTAGGCACTGAAGAAACATTAACTCTTATTGAGAAAACATACTTTCATTTAGTAATGGTTCATGTATCTCAAACAGCTTGGCAAACTATGGCCTACTTCCTATTTTTATATGGCCCACAGGCTAAGATTATTTTGTACATTTTAAATAGCTGAAAAAAATCTAAATAAACAATAACATTTGTGGTATGTGAAATTTTATAAAATTCTGTGTCCATAAACACTAGAACACAATTACCATCATTCATTGTTTGTATATTTTCTGTGACTGCTTGTACATAATGGCAGAGTTAAGTAGTTGCCACAGAGACCCTATGATCTGAAAGCCTAAAATATTTACTATACAGCCCTTTCCATTCAAAAGTTTTTTGACCCTGATCTAAAATAGACTAAGAATTTTAATACATTGCCTAATATGGTGAGGGGGCTATTTTGGTCTAAAAGTAAATCTCATGTGCAGTGTTCTATACATAGCATATCTGAATCAAGGGTTTGAGGATAAACCAGATTTTAAAAATACACCAATAATGAAAAGACTGTTCTTAAAGGAAATTGTTTGTACATTTAGCAAAATATTGACGATATATTTCTATTTGGTTTAAAGAAATGGTTCATCAAATCTTTAAACAAGGAAAATAAAAAAATTTTTTTTTGAGGAATCATGTTTGTTATGATCAAGCATTTGCAGGCTATTGGCTCCTTTTTCGAGTATCATTAATGAATAATGAATAAAAGGTTGTCATCTTGGCTTTTGTCATTTGCTGCTTTTGCTCTGCTATATTCTGATAACAGATAACTCAGTTTGTTAGAACTGGATATGAAATAGGAGTAAATCTATTTTTAAAGGCTTTACATTTAGATCATTGGCTCTTACATTTGTGTTCATAAGAATCACTTGGGATTCTTGTTAAATATAAACAGTGTGGACCTCATCCCTCCTACATCAGACTCTGTAGAACAGTACTCATAAAACCATCTGTGATGAAAGAAACAATTCTTCCCCCAATCTGTCATTATTATATTATTTATATTTTGAAAATTATAATTAAAATGAATTACTAGAGAAATATAATGGAGAAATAAAACAAAGACATAAAAATTATAGGTCTTACTGTTTTACTGTTAAGATTCAGCAGACATAAAATTACTCTGCCAGATTATTCTAAAAGTCTTCAACACTCTTATTTCTCTGTTTGTAAATCAACACTTGCGTATATATCATACTCTGAGAAGCACTGCTCAGGAGGCTGCCTTAGAATTTGTATGTTTCAGAAGCACCCTGTGTGATTAAATTGCAGATATGGTATATGAACCAAATTTTGAGACTTACTGCTTTTAAGTTATATCTAAAAGTGAATGGCTTTGCTACAGCCATAAGACCAGCCAGGGGCTTTTGAATCTCGCTATATTTTTGTACTTCTGAAAAATAAGAAGATATTCTGGAAAATAATAATTTGGGTTACTGAAAATGTGCCCTCCAGATAAGTTAGATGTTACTACACAGAACTAAGTGTGCTTTGTAGAAGACTTTGACTGCTGTAATTTTTCCAGATAAATAGCCTTTTTCTAATTAAGCCATATTTGTGATTGAACTAATTTTTAACCTAATGATGTCTTTACAGAGGCTTATCTCCTGCAGAAGCAGAGTTTAATTACCTAAACACAGCACGTACCTTAGAACTCTATGGAGTAGAATTCCACTATGCAAGGGTAAGAGTGAAGAAAACTTACTTTTATGTTGTTGAATCATGCTCCATTACTTAGTATCAAATTTTTTAGGATTAGGTAACAGATGTAATAACTTCTGATTGCTGCCCAACATAGTTGCACTAAAATTTTATTCTGAGTATAATTATTTTCATAATAACTTAAGATTCAATACCTGATGAGAAGGATGGTTAAATTGGATTCTTCATGTTATTTTTGTTTAAGGTGGTGTTTTATGTTTTAAGATAATTTTTGCAGACCATGAGAGACAGTACCTTTAGAATATTTATTTTAAAAAATAAAAGTTATCAGAAAATGGTTTTATGTACTTTTTTTATAATTGTGATCATAAAAGTTGTTCTCACAGCACTGAGGCCTGTATTATTACACTTAATTTTCATCATTTAGTGGCATTATCATACATTTTTATTTATAAAGCACAAAATGGAGCATACTGACATTAAAATATTTTTGGTTTTATCTCTCCTGAATCTCTTTATTACAATGGAATTTGTAATCATTGGCTTTTTCTGTACAACAATCTATAACTTCTTTTTCCTGTGTCAAACTTTGCTGGTTTTGCAAGACTATTATCCTCCAGCCATAAGCATATTTGTGAGTGGCTGTGCTTCATTTGTGTGTCTTTTCACCTATATTCCTTCTCATGATTTCTTTATCAAAAGGTTATATTTTTTTAGAAGTACTTGGATTATAGTTATTCTCCATAACCAGTGAAAAGTAGAATTATAGATAATAATAGATTGAGTTGGTGATGGGGTTTATATTCTCTTGGGATAAATTATTAAGCCTAATAAGGATATCAGCCTAAAAGGGAAAGATTTTTCTTAGATAATTATTTTGAATTTATTTTAATACATGGACACTCACAGGTGCACAGGCAGATAGTTGTTTAAGTACTCTAAGTTCTATTTCATAGAAATGGTTTTATACTTAGGACCTCACTTGACGATATTCTTAGTGGCAAGCTTTACTTTAGTTCTTAAGTTTCATAAAGGCTATGTCAATCTCTCCTTTAAAAGACCAGATGACTTGTTTTCCTTAAATGATTATATGTTGTAATTCTGAGTGTTTTTCTTATTCCATTTAAAATCTGTCTCTCACAAACTTTTTGCTTTCTTTAAAATACGCCTCTTTGGTTGAGCACAGTGACTTATGCCTGTAATCCTGGCATTCTCAGAGGCTGAGGCGGGAGGATTGCTGGAGCTCAGGAGTTTGAGACTAGCCTGAGCAGGAGTGAGAACCCATCTCTACTAAAAATAGAAACAATTAGCCAGGTGTAGTGGCTTTTGCCTGTAGTCTCAGCTACTCAGGAGGCTGAGGCAGAAGGTTCACTTGAGCCCAGGAGTTTGAGGTTGCAGTGAGCTATGAAGACACCATTGCACTCTACCCAGGGTGACAGAGTTGAGACTCTGTCTCAAAAAAAAAAAAAAAAAAAAAAAAAAGATATACCCCTTTACTATACTTCTATTTGGGGCCTATTACTTTTGAACACAGTTCTCCAGAATGTAACTTAGTGATCAATATTTGTATACCTGGAGTTTGTTTCTTTTTTTTTTTTTTTTTGAGACAGAGTCTCGCTTTGTTGTCCAGGCTAGAGTGAGTGCCGTGGCGTCAGCCTAGCTCACAGCAACCTCAAACTCCTGGGCTCGAGTGATCCTTCTGCCTCAGCCTCCCAAGTAGCTGGGACTACAGGCATGCGCCACCATGCCCGGCTAATTTTTTATATATATATATCAGTTGACCAATTAATTTCTTTTCTATTTATAGTAGAGACAGGGTCTCGCTCTTGCTCAGGCTGGTTTTGAACTCCTGACCTTGAGCAATCCGCCCGCCTCGGCCTCCCAAGAGCTAGGATTACAGGCGTGAGCCACAGCGCCCGGCCATGGAGTTTGTTTCTTATCATAATAAAGTTTAAAACTGATAGAACCTTAAATATGTGAATTAAACTGTGGTTAAAAATAAAAAGACAGCCAAAATTAGTTGTTTTAATCCTTAACGCTATTCTAAATGCAATTTTATATATAGAGAGATTGCTATCAATGGAATACAAAGAGTGTTAGACTTTCCTTTTTGTAAATTTAAACAAGGGTAGATCTCATACATAATTAACCATATTGTTATTTATTGATTTGATTAAGGTAAGTCTTTTTTGTCATTTAAATTATCAGATTATAAAACTGTTTCTCAGCCCTAAATGTAGAGTACAAGATTAAAGGAATTTAAATTTAAAATGGTCAAAGTTCGTTAGAAACATATTTTGTACAGAAAAAAAAGGCTAGGAAGGAGTGTTTTTCTTGTACGTGGATACTGAGAACTTAAGAAGAAAATGTACAAATGTTCAGTGAACATGAAGGGAGGTTTTGTGCCATCAAGAATAAAAGGACAAAAGGTAGATGAGTGTAGAGCATTCTTTGTGGTGGTTCTGTTATGTGCCTTGTACAATATTGGCACTAAGGATTACTTAATGAATAAAACATTACTCATCCCTGCCTTCATGGAGCTCACAGGATAGTGGGAGAGAGAGAAATGGAACATGTATTAACAATTAAATATGTGAGCATATGAAGGGTAAAGTGCAGAATGCTATGGAACCATATGGCAGGAACATAGGCAGCCTATAAGTAGAGGGTAGGGAATGCTTCCTTGGTGAAGTAATATATTTACCGAAACCAGAAGAATGAGTAAAAATAAGCCAAGAGAATGGTTTTCAGAGCTATCACCATAAATGAAGACCTGAAATCAAGAGAGAACATGGCATGTTTGAAAACATAGAAAACATTTAGTATAGCTAGAGATTTTATGAATAAAGGAATAGAGAATTGTAGAAAAGTAAAAATGAATGACAACTTTAGGATAAAAAGGAAAGGAGGAAAATATTTGTGGAAAGGTAGCAAAAGGATATATTATTTTTAAAATAACACAGTAAGTAGATTTTTTGTGTTTAATTTTGTGAGTTATAACGTATGTATGGATTCTTACAATTATTACCACATCATAATACAGAGTAGTTTCATCACCTTAAAAAAATCCATGTTCATGCTATTCCTTTGTAGTCAATGTTTCCACTCACCCCTAATCCCTGGTGACCATCAGTTTATTCTCTGATACTGTAGTTTTTGTCTTTTCCAAACTCTCTTATAAAACTGTTCATATAGTATTAACTATGTTTGCCTAAGAAGCTTTTATTTTTAGTTATCTAAATGTATATGTTATCACAGAAGGCTTGGCTTTAGGTTTTTAATTAGGTATAAGACACTCTAAATTAGCGCTAAAACAATTCTAACCAAGTTTAGGCTTAGTTGGGAGTATCTTATTTCCATAGATATCTGTAATAGTGATGGAGATAATTCTACTAAAATAACTTTTGCCCTTCAGTTTCAAGAAAAGGAAAACTTAATTATGCTACTTTGATTTTTCATTCATTCAGTGAATATTTATTGAGCACCTACTATGTTTCAGGTCCCATTTATAGACACTGTAAATACAGCAGTGAATAAGTAGATATAATCTAACCCTCATGAAGTTTGCATTCTGGTGAGCAAGACAAAACTATAAATAAACAATTATATCATAGTATATAGTATGTGATTCCATGGAAGTAGAGTTCAGCAACTGGCAAAATACCAGTCTGTATTGGTAGAAGTCAGAGTAGCAGTCATCTCTGGAGGAATGTTATTCACTAGGATACTCATGAGGGAGACTTCTGTGTTTTTGCAAATATTCTGTATATTGGTTTGTGGTAGTTACCTAGCAGTGTATATAGGTATGTATGTGCATGTGTAAAATTTTGAGTTGTACATTTAAGATTTGCGCATTTTACACAAATGTATAAATGTATATTGTACTTCAAATTTTAAAAAATTTAAATAGGCAATATGTCACAAAGTAATAGATGCTATGGAGAAAAATTAATCTGAGAAAGGGAATTAGGACAACCAAAAATGGGGTGTCAAGGAAAGCCTAACTGAGAAGGTAAACAGACCTGAAGAGGCACCATGGAAACATCTGGGAGGAGATCATTCTAAGCAGAAGAAACACCAGTGAAAGGCCATGAAATAGTGTGTGTAGCAGTCAAGTAATAGCAAAGAAACTATTATGGCTGGCATAGTGTGAACAAAGAGAGGAGAGTATTAGAAGATAAGATCAAAGCAGACCAGGACTTTATAAGACATTTTAAGGACTTTGGCTTTTAATTATAAGCAAGGCTGTTAAAGAGTTTTGAGGCGATAAAACGTGTTGTGTTTTACATTTTTAAAAACTAACAGTGGCTGCTGTTTTGAGAGCAGACTAAAGATACTAAGGGAAGAGGCCAGTTAAGAGACTGTTACAGTGATCCAGGTGAGAGGTAATGGTGGTTGTAGCAGTAGGGTGGCGAAAAGTAATCAAATTCTGAATATATTTGGAATGTGGAAGTAACAGCTTTTACTGATCTACTGGCTATGAGGTGTGAGAGAAAAAGGATTCGGGAATTATTCTGTTTGTGGCCTGAATGTTCACTAAGTTGCGAAAGACATGAGAGAAGCTGCAGGCTTAGGAGTGAAAGTCTAGAATTATTGATGAGTCATATTATATTTGAAAAAACTTTTCACAAATCCAAATGAAGGAGGGTAGGCAATTCAATTTATGGACCAGGAGTTTAAAAGAAAGGTCCTGGCTAGAGATACACATTTGGGAATTGTCAGCTTACAGTTAATATTTAAAACAGTGAGAGGAGACCACTAAGGGTACATATCTAGTAGATAATGAAGAGAAGAGGTCCACAAAGCTGGAATACTTAAAAGTTTTACAGTTAGAGAGATGAGAAAGAACCAGGAAAGGAGACCAAGAAGGAACAGCCATTTAGACAGAAGTAAAGTCTTTATGTAAAAGACACAATTGTTTATCTTTGAAGCCTAGTGAGTTGAGTGAGAGTGGTCAACCATGTCAGATGATGCTGATAAGTCAAGTAAAATGAGAACAGAGAACTGGATTAGAAAAATAGA